GAATCTGGAAACAATCATGCAGAGTGCGGAAGGCGAACGGGCAGATCTGTGATTGGGGGAGGAGGGGCCCCGAGGGGCACAAGACACAGTCAGGAGGGTTGCGTGTGTCCATGCTGCATGCAGGATGGGTTTATGGATGAGCAAGCATAACGTTCACAGCAGCTGTTTATGCATAATATATGGATATGGATATATATTTATCAGATTATGCACTGTAAATATGTGTGGTTTATTGTATATCAATTATATCCAAATAAAGCTGTTTTTTAGGCCAGGAGCGGTGGTTCACACCTGTAATCCCAGCACTTTGGGAGGCCAAGGCGGGGTGGGGATCATATGAGGTCAGGAGTTCAACACCAGCCTGGCTAACATGGTGAAACCCCGTCTCTACTAAAAATACAAAAATTAGCCAGGCGTGGTGGTACATATCTGTAATACTAGCTACTTGGGAGGCTGAGGCAGGAGAATCATTTGAGCCTGGGAGGTGGAGGTTGCAGTGAGCTGAGATCGAGCCACTGCACTCCAGCCTGGGCGACAGAGCGAGACTCCGTCTCAAAATAAATAAATAAATAAATAATAAAGCTGTGTTTTTAGAGAGACAGGGATTGTCAGACTGAATAAAAAAGCAAGACTTCCTATATGCTGCCTACAAGAAACACACTTTAAACATAAAGACACAAATAGCTTAATCCTTCTCTCGTTTAGGAAAAAAAATTGCAGCTCACTGCCAGCGCTCATTTACTTTTACATAAACACACTCTTTGAGGCTGAAGTAAATCTGACTGATTTTCAATGTGAAAATAAAACATAAAAACTGTTCTTGGAATTATTTCTAAACAGAACTAACATCAGAGTCATCTGAATCATCAGAATCATCTATTTTGGAAAACCTGGATTCATCAAAGGAATCTTTGGCCAGCAACGGAGAATGATGTTAACACCATGCGTGGGAACGCTGTGTCTTCTGGGATTTGACGTTTTCATCAACTGAGAATCCCTATATTTTGTAAATGGAAATACCACGACTAAAAACAGAATGCCGTAAATAGAATGAGGCCTTTTGTTTCCAAAGTCGACATACTTGAGCAACGCAGAAGTCATCAGGAAAACGAGAGATTTCGTGGCAAACTTATCTCGGGGTAAACGCTGCAGCTGCAAGCACTCCCAGTGAGTGTTCTCGGGGCAAACAGGAGAAGAGTTTAAAACAAATGGATGGGAAAAGGTACACCACGTTAATACAAACCGAGAGAAAGCTGGAGTGGCGATATTAACACCAGGCAAAGATTCAAGAATAACATACTAAATACAATAAACAACATCACAAAATTACAAGGGGGTCAATTCATTCAGAGCGCATTCTCCCAAAGGGGCATCTACCTGCAAAGAGACCTTCAAAACACATGAAGCAAAGCTGACAGAACTAAAGGGAGACAAGATAAGTCACCATCACAGATGGAGATTTCCACAGAACTATTCAGTAAGTAACTGAACAAGTACATAAAAATCAGTAAAGACAAGGAAGATTCAAATCAACACTATTATCCAAGTTAACCTAATGGACGTTTATTGAGCAGACCAACAACAACAGAATACACATTATTTACAAGTGTACACAAAACCTCCACCAAGACAGACTCTTCTCTGGACAATAAAGCAAACCTCAATACATTTAAAAGAACCAAAATCAGAGAACGGTTTCTGACAAGGGAACTGAATAAAAACTCAGCAATAGAATAACATCTGAAAAAACCCAAAATATTTTCAAATAAATAACACATTATGCACAGTATCAAAGAAAAAAAAAATCACAAAAGTAAAGCAAATTTAATCCCACAGTAAGCAGCAAGAAAAAAATAATAAAGATGTGAAATCAATGAAATTTTTAAAAAAGAAAAAAAAATCAATGAAACCAAACTCTGGTTCTTGGGAAAGAGCAATAAAATGGGTAAACTTCTACAAATATTGATTAGGGAAAAAATGGAGAAGACAGAATTTACCACTACTAGGAATAAGAGAGGGGGTATCATTACAGATCCTACAGGTATAAGAGGATAGTAAGGAAACATATAAAAAATTTTATAAAAATAGGCCGGGCGCGGTGGCTCAAGCCTGTAATCCCAGCACTTTGGGAAGCTGAGGCAGGAGAATCCCTGCAACCTGGGAGGCGGAGGTTGCAGTGGGCCGAGATTGTGCCATTGCACTCCAGCCTGGGCGACAAGAGTGAAATCTGTCTCAAAAAAAAAAGAAAAAAAAGAAAGAAAGAATTGATGACACAAACAAATAAAAAACACATCCAGGTTGATGTGGATGCAGTGAAAAGGGAAAACTTTTACACTGCTGGTGGGAATGTCAACTAGTACAACCACTATAAAAAACAGTATGGAGGCCAGGCACAGTGGCTCACGCCTGTAATCACAGTACTTTGGGAGGCCGAGGTGGGTGGATCAAGACCAGCCTGGCCAACATGGTGAAGTTCGAGACGAGCCTGGCCAACATGGTGAAACCCCATCTCTACTAAAAATACGAAATTAGCCAGGCATGGTGGGGGGCACCTGAAGCTACCTGAAAGGCTGAGGCAGGAGAATCCCTGCAACCTGGGAGGCGGAGGTTGCAGTGGGCCGAGATTGTGCCATTGCACTCCAGCCTGGGCGACAAGAGTGAAATCTGTCTCAAAAAAAAAAAGAAAAAAAAGAAAGAAAGAATTGATGACACAAACAAATAAAAAACACATCCAGGTTGATGTGGATGCAGTGAAAAGGGAAAACTTTTACACTGCTGGTGGGAATGTCAACTAGTACAACCACTATAAAAAACAGTATGGAGGCCAGGCACAGTGGCTCACGCCTGTAATCACAGTACTTTGGGAGGCCGAGGTGGGTGGATCAAGACCAGCCTGGCCAACATGGTGAAGTTCGAGACGAGCCTGGCCAACATGGTGAAACCCTGTCTATACTAAAAATACAAAAATTAGCTGGGGTGCACCTGTAATCCCAGCTACCTGAAAGGCTGAGGCAGGAGAATCCCTGGAACCTGGGAGGCGGAGGCTGCAGTGAGCCAAGATGGCGCCACTGCACTCCAGCCTGGGTGAGAGAGCAAGACTCTGTCCCAAAACAAAAAAAGAAAAGAAATTCTGCGACTCAGATGAAATGGACAAATTACCTGAAAGACAAAAACCACAGAAACTCAAGAATAAGCTGATTAGCCTTTTATTTACAAATTGAACTTATAGTTGAAAAACCTTCCCACAGAGAAACTTCCAGGCCCAGATGGCTTCAGTGGTGAATTCTACCAAACATTACAGAAAGAAAACATACAAATTCTTCCAGAAAATAAAGGAAGAAACATCTCCCAATTCTTTATATAAGCAGCATTACTGATACCAAAACCAGCAGACATTACAATAAAAGAAACAGCTTGATATCCCCATGAACATAGAAAAAAAATCCTTAACAAAAATGTAACAAATTAAATTAAGCACTGTTTATCAAAGATAATATGTCATGATTTATCACAGGAATAAAAGGTGGGTTTAATAATCAAAAAATTAAAACAGGCCAGGCGCGGTGGCTCACACCTGTAATCCCAGCACTTTGGGAGGCCGAGGCGGGCAGATGTCCTGAGGTCCGGCGTTCAAGACCAGCCTGGCCAACATGGTGAAACCCCATCTCTACTAAAAATACAAAAATGAACTGGGCATGGTGGCGCACGCCTGTTTTCCCAGCAACTCAGGAGGCTGAGGCAGGAGAATCGCTTGAACCTGGGAGGTGGAGGGTGCAGTGAGCTGAGATCCAGCTATTGCCCTCCAGCCTGGCGACAGAGTGAGACTCTGTCTCAAAAAAAAAAAAAAAAGTCTGGGCGTGGTGGTTCATGCCTGTAATCCCAGTACTTCGGGAGGCCGAGGCAGCTGGATCACGAGGTCAGGAGATCGAGACCATTCTGGCCAAAATGGTGAAATCCCGTCTCTACTAAAAATACAAAAATTGGCCGGGCGCGGTGGCTCAAGCCTGTAATCCCAGCACTTTGGGAGGCCGAGACGGGCGGATCACGAGGTCAGGAGATCGAGACCATCCTGGCTATCATGGTGAAATCCCGTCTCTACTAAAAATACAAAAATTGGCCGGGCGCGGTGGCTCAAGCCTGTAATCCCAGCACTTTGGGAGGCCGAGACGGGCGGATCACGAGGTCAGGAGATCAAGACCATCCTGGCTAACACGGTGAAACCCCGTCTCTACTAAAAAATACAAAAATCTAGCCGGGCGAGGTGGCGGGCGCCTGTAGTCCCAGCTACTCGGGAGGCTGAGGCAGGAGAATGGCGTAAACCTGGGAGGCGGAGCTTGCAGTGAGCTGAGATCCGGCCACTGCACTCCAGCCCGGGTGGAAGAATCCTGTCTCAAAAAAAAAAAAAAAAAAGAAAATTAAAACAATACATTAGCGAAAGGAGGAAAACCATATGGTCATGTCATTCGACACAGAAAAACATTTGCCAGCACTTCCACCTCTATTCACAGCAAAAACTCTGAGCAAACCAGGAATAGAAGGAAACGTCTTCAGCCTTCTAAGAGGCATCCAGAAAACAGTGCGGCTCCCACCATCCTCATCGGGGAAAGAGCGAGGGCTTCCCTCAGCATATTCTACCCCGCACCGGATGGGAGCCTGAGTGCGGCTCCCACCATCCTCATCGGGGAAAGAGCGAGCGCTTCCCTCCGCATATTCCACCCCGCACTGGATGGGAGCCTGCCCAGGCAGGAGGCGGCTGTCAGAGAAAATCACAACTGCCTTGATGGGCAGACGACAGGGCATCGATGCCGTAAAGGTTGTAAGGCCTCCACAAAACAGTACTAGAGCTAAACAATAAGAGAGTTCAGAGGGTCACAGGACTCAAGCTCATTCTTGCTCTCGGCACGGGCCAGCTCCCCCGGGATGTCCTTTCTAATTTCAGGCACCTCTCCTCCCTGGCAGCAGCGCTGCCCCGTTCACCAGCCCTTATTTTCTCATTCCAGGATGACCTTGTCCTCCACGCTCCCTGCTCCAACCTACAAGGTGGGCCGTGCACCTCTGCTGGTCGAAAAGAACCCAGCCGTTCTCTCTTCAAAACAGACATCTCATTCTAGGTTGGTCTTGACTCTCTCTGAGCCTTTCTTGGGGCTGCAGGGTGGGGGTGAGGAGGTGGGAAGACCCGATGCAGCACACCTCCTATCACCGCGCCTCGCTCTACTGCAACCTCCACCTCCCAAGTTCAAGCAATTCTGCTGCCTCAGCCTCCCGAGTAGCTGAGACTATAGGTGCACGCCACCACGCCTGGCTAATTTTTGTATTTTTAGTAGAAACGGGGTTTCACCGTGTTAGCCAGGATGGTCTTGATCTCCTGAACTCATGATCCGCCTGCCGCGGCCTCCCAAAGTGCTGGGATTACAGGCGTGAGCCACCACGCCCAGCCAACTACTTTTTTTTTTTTTTGAGATGGAGTCTCGCTCTGTCGCCCAGGCTGGAGTGCAGTGGTGCAATCTTTCCTCACTGCAAGCGCCACCTCCCAGGTTCATGCCATTCTCCTGCCTCAGCTTCCCAAGTAGCTGGGACTACAGGCGCCCGCCACCACACCCAGCTAATTTTTGGTATTTTTAGTAAACATGGGGTTTCACCATGTTAGCCAGGATGGTCCCGATCTCCTGACCTCATGATCCGCCTGCCTTGGCCTCCCAAAGTGCTGATGAATATAAAAGAATTCTAAGCCAGGCACGGTGACTCACGCCTGTAGTCCTAGCACTTTGGGAGGCTGAGACAGATGGATTATTTGAGCCCAGGAGCTTGAGACCAGCCTCCTGGCCAACATGGTGAAACTCCATCTCTACTAAAAAATATATATATATGCGCCAGGCATCGTGGCACACACCTGTAATCCCAGCTGCTTGAGAGGCTGAGGCAGGAGAATTGCTTGGACCCTAGAGGTGGAGGTTGCAGTCAACCAAGCTTGCACCACTGCACTCCAGCCTGGATAACAGAGTGAGACTCCGTCTCAAAAAAAAAAAAAATCTATCTTTTAAAAATACTTACTGAAATGTAGCTACGTGAATTATGATTTCAGGTATTTGCTTCCAAATAATTGAGTGGATTGGAACAGAAACCAAAATTGACAAGCGGGAGCTAACTAAAGAGCCTCTGCATAGCTGAACCTATCATGGCAAAGGAGACTATGGACAGAATAAACAGAAAACCCACTGAATAAGAGAAGATATCTGCAAACTATGCATCTGACAAAGGTCTGAAATTCACAATCTATAAGAAGCTTAAAAAGAAATAAAATAACCCCATTAAAAAGCGAGCAAAGGACATGAACAGATTCTTCTCAAAAGGAGACATAAAAGTGGCCAACAGACGTGAAAAAAGGCTCGACATCAACAGTCATCAGAGAAGTGCAAATCAAAACCACAACAAGATACCATCTCACACCTGTCACAATGGCTTTCATTTAAAAAAGAAAAAAATAACAGATGCTGGAGAGGCCACAGAGAAAAGGGAAACTCAAGCACTCCTGGCAGGGATGCCAATGAGTTCAGCCACTGCGGAGAGCAGTGTGGAGTTTTCTCGAAGAACTAAGAACAGAGCTACCATCTGACCCAGTGATGCCACTACCAGGTGTGTACCCAAAGAAATAAATCATTCTACAAAAAAACCCCACGTACACATGTAGGTTCATCACAGCACTATTTACAATAGCAAAGACATGGAATCAACCTACGGGCCTGGCAGTGGTGGACTGGATAAGGAAAATGCGGTATATCCACGCCATGGAGTATTATACAGCCACAGAAAAGAACAAAATAACGTCCCTTGCAGCAACATGCATGCAGCCGGCGACCATCGTCCTAAGTGAACGAACACAGAAACAGAAAACCAGATACCACATGTTCTCACCCATCAGTGGGAGCTAAAGCACATGGTACACAGGGACATAAAGATGAGAACCACAGGCGCTGGGACTGACGGTGAGGAGCGAGGGAGCGGGGAGGAGGGGCAAGGCTGAAAAACAACCTATTGAGTGCCACGCTCACCATCTGGGTGATAGGATCATTCTCATCCCAAACTCAGCGTCACGCAATACACCATGTCGTGAACCGCACATGTGCCTGATGAATCTAAAACCAAAGTTGAAATTATTTTTAAAAATAAATTTTTTTAAGAAGGGAGTGGAGGACACAGATGAAATGGGAATGGCTGTGAACTGGTAACTTCTGAAGCCGGGGATGCGTGCACAGGGTTTGTTATGCTACTCTTTCCACATTTATGATTATCAGATTATTTCCATGAGAGCTATTTTAAGAAAAAAACCAATTAGATACACTGCTTACTTTTCAAGAGAAACAACGTAAACCAGGAAACAAAGGAACGACATCTTCAAAGCTGTGAAAAATGAGAACCAAACCAGAATTCAGTAAGCAGCACAAATATCCCCTGAGGAATAAACAGGAACTAAAAACACCGTCAGATAAACCACACACAGACCGTGTCTCCAAGTGACCCACATTAAAGGCCACACAAGAGTGTTCTCCAGCAGAGATGAAATGATCTGGTCTGGAGGAAGAGCGCTGCCAAAAAGGCCCGAGGCGGATAACCGCCACGCGGGTCCGAGGCAGGCAGCCGTGTACTGTTACGGGTGTCTCTGCCTTTCAGCACTTCCAGTAGAAGCGGTAGAACCCGGAAACACCGACATGCACACATGTATGTGAATCAAACCCACAAGTTCACACTGATGCCGCCAACTCTGCCCTGAGATCACAAGACCGAGCCTCCCCCTTTCCACAACCGTGATTTTTCCTCTTTTCTTTTTTTTTTTCTTTTTTGAGACAGTTTCACTCTTGTTGTCCAGGCTGGAGTGCAGGGGCGCGATCTTGGCTCACCCCAACCTCCACCTTCTGGGTTCAAGTGATTCTCCTGCCTCAGCTTCCCGAGTAGCTGGGATTACAGGCATACACCACCACACTTGGGTTGGTTTTTTTTTTTTTTTTTGTATTTTTAGTAGAGACAGGGTTTCTCCATGTCAGTCAGGCTGGTCTCGAACTCCTAACCTCAGGTTATCCGCTCGCCTTGGCCTCCCAAAGTGCTGGGATTACAGGTGTGAGTCACCGCGCCCGGCCTGCATCCGTGACATTTCAGTCCACCTCTGGGAGGCTGGGCTCCCACTTTCCCAGCAGATTTCCTCATTTGCTTAACCCTACAACACGTGCACGAAGTCGCTGCAGAATTAACCCATGCCACCAAGAACACAAGCCTTCTAGCTGGAGATTACAATTTGTTTATAATTTTTATCTTTATACTTGAAGGTTTATCGTGTCCAGGAGTTTCTTGGATCAGTTTTCTTTTCATTTTTCTTTTTTGTTGGAGGACACAGTCTCGCTCTGGTGCCCAGGCTGGAGTGCAGTGGCACAATCTTGGCTCACTGCAACCTCTGCCTCATGAACTCAAGTAATCCTCCCACCTCAGCCTCCTGAGTAGCTGGGACGACAGGTGTGTGCCACCACCCAGTTAATTTTTTGCAATTTTTGTAGAGATGGGGTTTCACCACGTTGCCCAGAATGGTCTTGAACTCCTCATCTTGGGTGATCCACCTGCCTCGGCCAGCTTTCTTCCTTAAGTGTACTTATTCATTTGAAATATAGTAAGTTCATTTGTTTGCTTGTAACACCACCTGTATTTTATTTTTTAGTTTCTCCAAATCTCTCAATAAAAGGAAAACTAGAACAGTGAAACCACAATCCTCTGATGTTATCAACAATAACAAAGAAGACGGACACGGTATTTCCGTTAACCACCAAATGTAAGTGGAAGGGACAAACCATGAATATGGGTAAGTGGGTCCCTGACTTAATGATGGCTCAACCTATGAATCTGCAACTTTACGATGGTATGGAAGCTACTGGCATTCAGCACAAACTGTACTTTGAATTCTGAATGTTGATCTTTTCCTAGGCTAGCAACATATGGTGTGACACTCTGGCATGAGATATTCAACACTTTATTACAAAACAGGCTTTGTGTCAGGTGATTCTGCCCAAATCTGGGTTGATGTACATGTTCTAAGCATATTTAAGGGTAGCAACATACAGTGTGACACTCTTGCATGAGATATTCAACACTTTATTACAAAACATGCTTTATGTCAGGTGATTCTGTCCAACTCTGGGCTAATACAAGTGTCTGAGCACATTTAAGGGAGGCTAGACGAAGCTATGATGTTTGGCAGATTAGGTGTGTTCAATGCATTTTCAACTGAGGATATTTTTAATTGATGATGGGTAGATCAGGATGGAAGCGCTCATAATCAGTATTCCAAGGCCTAGATGGTTCTGTTCAGCTGGAAAAGAAAGATGTCACCAAGCGTGTGATACACCGATAATCCCCAAGTAGCCGACAGGTACCACTGGGCGGCCCACAGAACCAAGCTGCTCAAGTGGGTGACTTTCCGCACATCTGCAAAGCAGAGGAGGGTCAGGGTCCGAGGTCCAATCTGGGGCAAAACAAAACAGCCGACACTTCTTTCCAGGGCAAAAATTCGCACAAAGAGAAGCTGCTGGGCCTACCAGGCCACCCAGAACTAGACAGAAAGTCAGCAAGAACAGAGAAGACTTGAGCAACACCGTCAGCCAGCTGACCCAGCAGACCCGCTGGAGCGCTGCCCCCACAGCCGCCGGCACACACGCTTCTTCAGGGGCCCGGGGAATATCCCCCAGTACAGACCACAGGCCAGCCCGTAACGTACGCGTTGGGCATTTCAAAAGGACAAACTATACAAGTCCTCTAAACACAATGGAGTTAAATTATAAAGCAAAAGAAAGAAATCTGGGAAATAAGCAATTATTTGGAAATGAAATACAATTCTAAATAACTCATGGGTGAAAAAGAAACTGTGAAGGAAACTGGAAAATATTTTCAACTGAATGACAATAAAAATACAACCCACCAAATGCATGAGATGCAGCTAAAGTGGTGGTTGGCAAGAAACTGAAGGCTCTACATACCTGTTAGAAAAGACGACCTCCAGTCAATAAAGTACTCACCTAAAACAAAACACCAAAAAAAACAGCAACCCAAACTGATGCCAGCCAAGGAACACAGGTGACCTCCTGCAGGCACAAGAGGTAAGAACGTGCATTTGCCCTGAGAGCAGCATTCGGCAGCAGGCCAGCATCTTCATTTAGCCCAGTGAGACCCAGCTCAGATTTCAGACTCCTAATGTCCGTTTGTGTGAAGCCACTTGGTTTGTGGTAATTTGTTAAAGCAGCACTAGAAAACTAATATAATAGGCAGCAGAAAAGAATTCTGTCAAATCTCACAGAAGGGTATGAGAAAAATAAAGAGCAGAAAAACATCACTGCAGATAATGAAATATGCTCACAGAAAAATGTGACCTCAAATTAAATGAAAACAGTAACCTCCTATTACAAAGACACTAAAGAAATTAAGAGGCCAGGCGCGGTGGCTCAAGCCTGTAATCCCAGCACTTTGGGAGGCCGAGGCGGGTGGATCACGAGGTCAGGAGATCGAGACTATCCTGGCTAACACGGTGAAACCCCGTCTCTACTAAAAAATACAAAAAAAAAAAAAGCCGGGCGAGGTGGCGGGCGCCTGTAGTCCCAGCTACTCGGGAGGCTGAGGCAGGAGAATGGCGGGAACCGGGAGGCGGAGCTTGCAGTGAGCCGAGATCCGGTCACTGCGCCCCAGCCTGGGCGACAGAGCAAGACTCCGTCTCAAAAAAAAAAAAAAAAAAAAGAAAAATTCTGATGTGAGATTATAGGTCCCACAAAAACATTAAAAATAAAAGTAAAATATGACTTCAAGAATGAAGACCTAAAAAAGAAGAAACATGAGAACAAACTCCACAGATGACAACCTAAGATAAATGAAGGCGAATCACAATTTTTTTAATGAAACAGAAATGAGGGGATTAAAAAAGACTCAAGAGAAACGGACCAATTTAAAAGACGGGTAAAGAAGATCCAACATATGTACAATCAGAACAGCCACCCCAGAAACAGGAGGGGACAAGGCCAGAGAACAGAATACTCAACACTTAAAAACCTTTCCTGAATTAGAAATTGTCAAGCCACACAGTGAAAGGGACTGAGAAAATCCATCCTCAACTAATAACACTAATTTATTTTCTAACAAAATTACTAGACTTAAAAGAAATCCTTTGGGCTCTCGGGCAAAGTACAAAGTCACTTGGAAAGAAAAAACTGTCATGATTTTGACAGCAATGCTTTATTCTAGAAGACCATAGAATAACATATTTAAGATATTTAAGGGGCCAGGCGCCGTGGCTCATGCCTGTAATCCCAGCACTTTGGGAGGCCAAGGCAGGCAGATCACAAGGTCAGGAGATCAAGACTATCCTGGCTAACACAGTGAAACCCCGTCTCTACCAAAAAACACAAAAAATTAGCCAGGCGCCAGGCGTTGGTGGGTGGGCGCCTGTAGTCCAGCTACTGGGAGACTGAGGAAGGAGAATGGCGTAAACCGGCCAGTGCAGCTTGCAGTAGCCAATAACACACTGTATCCAGCCTGGCACAACATGAGTGAAACTCCATCTCAAAAAAAAAAAAAAAAAAAGATATCCAAGAAAAAAGTGAAACAGCCAGGCACAGTGGCCACGCCTATAATCCCCCCA